AGCCCAGCAGGATTACAGCACAGTCGGCAACCCTAATAGACAATATATTTACTAATGAAATAGAAAATAGAACCATAAGTGGTCTCCTAATTAATGACATCAGTGATCATCTACCTGTTTTTATAGTGTATAACAGCAATTACAGGAAGGTTAAACAGCAAAACACAATAAAATACAAACGAGTGAGAACAGAAGAGTCAATAAACGCATTCAAAAGTGATTTACTCAAGCAAGAATGGGAGATGCTGTATAAGGAAAAAAATATTGATAAAGCTTATGAGATTTTTTTAGGAAAATTTAAACTGTTATATAATAGTCATTGCCCAGTAAAGAAATATAGTAAAAAACAAAAATATGCAGAGTGCCCATGGATTACAAAAGGATTGCAAAATGCATGTAAGAAGAAAAATACCTTATACAGAGAATTTATAATGAACAGAAGCACAGAAGCTGAAAATAAATACAAGAAATATAAAAATAAATTAATGAGTATTTTAAGGTCATGTAAAAAGGAATACTATGAAAAATTACTGATTATGAATAAAAATAATATTAAAGGGATCTGGAAAACATTAAATACCATCATCAAAAAGGGCTTGGGGCAGGCAGACAATCCTTCGTATTTCGCAAATAATGATAGAAATATTACTAATATGAGCGATGTGGTAAATGAGTTCAATAAATTCTTTGTAAGTGTTGGGCCAGACTTGGCTGAAACAATTCCTGATATAACAGATTCTGTAGAGAAAGAAACTAGACTCATTGACCGCAATCCTCATTCAATGTTCTTAACGGCAGTAGAAGAAAAGGAAATCATTGATATTGTTGGGAAATCACAAACAAAAAACTCTACAGACTCTGACGACATTGATATGGAAATCGTTAAGAGAGTGATAGAGGGCATTTCCAAACCCTTAACACACATTTGCAATTTGTCCTTACAAACTGGTACATTCCCAAAACAAATGAAAACAACTAAAGTAACACCACTGTTTAAAAATGGTGACAGACACCAATTCACAAATTATAGGCCTGTCTCTCTACTTTCTCAATTTTCAAAAATACTGGAAAAAGTCTTTAGTAATAGACTTGACAAATTTATAGATAAACACAAAATAATAATGGATAGTCAGTATGGTTTCAGATCAAATAGATCAACATCATTGGCATTAATGGAACTGATCGAAAATATCACCAACAATATAGATAAAAGACAATGTATAGTTAGTGTATTCATTGACCTAAAAAAAGCTTTTGACACAATTAATCATGACATATTACTTGATAAACTGGAGTACTACGGCATTAGAGGAGTGGTGTTAGAATGGGTAAAGAGTTATTTGAGAGACAGGCAGCAATTTGTGAAAATTGGGGAATATCAATCAGAGTGTATGGACATTGTTTGTGGAGTTCCGCAGGGGTCAGTATTGGGACCAAAGCTGTTTATCCTCTATATCAATGATATATGCAGAACATCAGATATACTACAGTTTATTCTATTTGCAGATGATACAAATATTTTTTGTGCTGGAGAGAACTTACAGCAGCTTTTGGAAATTGATGATTAAATGATTAAACTGAAAACATGGTTTGATAGAAATAAGCTATCATTAAATTTGGAAAAAACTACATTTATGTTATTCGGAAATTGTAAAAAAGATGCAGGAGCAAAATTCTTAGTAAACAATGTTGAAATAGAGCAAGTTGCGGATACAAAATTTCTGGGTGTGATAATAGATAACAAAATCTGCTGGAAACCTCACATAAAGCATATACAAGCCAAACTGTCAAGAAGCATCTCCGTACTAAGTAAAGTTAAATATTTTTTGCCTTCCAAATCACTCCGGGTACTTTATTGTTCACTTATATTGCCATATTTGGAATACTGTGTGGAAATTTGGGGAAACACATATAAAACTGCACTTCAACCAATATGTAAAATTAAAAAAAAAGCAATCAGGATGATTAATAAAGCAGGATTTAGAGACCATACTAACATCATGTTTTTGAAATTAAAAATACTGAAGTTTATGGATCTTATAAAATATAAAACTGCAAAAATTATGTACAAGGCCAGATACAATATGTTACCAGGAAATATACAGAGGATGTTCTATGACAGAGAAGGAGACTATGAATTGAGGGGGAAATTGAATCTAAGGATTCTTAAAGCACGGTCAAAGGTTAAAACCTTTTGTGTCACTATTTATGGGGTAAAACTGTGGAATAGTTTTACTATAGATCTACAGCAATGCTCAGGAATTAGTAAGTTCATGAAAATACTTCGAAAACTGATTTTGGAAGAATATGATACCGATAAAGATGATCACCCATTGTATGTATAAAAATATCAAATTATATCCAAATTATATCAATCACGGTAGCCAAGTTTATATAGGTTCTCCTCGTGTCTCGTGTGGAATATGTGATGATGGGAATTAGGTGAATTATGTGGGATCAATAAGATGTTGAGCAGGGGTAGGAATTAATAAGTATGTTCATACTTCTTCCTACTCCTTTTCAGACCAAACATTGTTACATTATGTCAGACGATTTTGTTTTATTTCATTATATATTTTTTGTTTATCTGAACACATACGTGTGTGTGTGTATATCTACATATATATTCGTATCTGTAAATGAAAATATATGTAGTGTGTATATATTGTTTTTTGTTTTATATGTCTGAAACAAATAAAGATACAATACAATACAATACAATCCAAATACCTATATTCTTCATCTCTTTGTTAGCGTTTAAATCAATTACAGGTTCTTTTGAGTTTTGTCACGGTTTGCAAGCCGTGTGGAATTATTTAGGACCAGGACGCGGCAGCTCTGGTGCAGGTGAGTATTTATTAATGAAGGAAATACAAACAACAAAGGCACTGGGAACATGAAACTGGAACCTAAACTGGGTAAAACTAACAAAACAAACCAGAAACGAAGATGCAGGGAGGTCCGGGGAAATACACATGGAGAGCTGCAGGGAGACCGAGGGAAAACAACACAGACGAACCAGCAACGACTATGACAGAAGACACAACTTAAATACACTCAGAGAACACAGGGAGATTACACACAGGTGGGGGACACAGCTGGAAGTGATTAACGTGACGAGACTAGGGAGGCAACTGAAAACACTCACATAAGACGCAGACCTTCACAATAAAACAGGAACTTACACATGAAAGGACACAAACTAAGAAACGCGGACTAGATACAGGAACACACGGGCAGAACAGAGTAAACACTAAACAGAGGAAGAACAGAACCAAAATCACAAGAAGAGAAAACACAAAACGCTGGGGCAAAAGGACCCAGGATCATGACAAGTTTTGTCCAAACCACACTCCTTCAGTCTTTTCCTGGTTTAACTTGGCACCGGAGGCTTGTTCATATTTTGTTAACAACTCCTTGAGTATTAATAGCTCCTTTTGGTCTTTAATAATTACTGAGACATCATCCGCATAAGCAAGGGCTGTCACCTTGCATAAGTCGTTTAGGACGTATCCAGTAAAACGGCTATCACAATTGATTATCTTGAGTAACGGATTTATTGCTAAAACATATAGAGCTGCACTTTTCACAATGATAAAGTCTCCCACGGCAAACCGTTACATAATATCATATTTCTAGTTTTCCTCCTCAGGTCCACTATAATGTGTTTACATACTACAGAGCCACTTATCTTTGTCTTATAACCTCTTTAGCCCTTCTTTTCCATATGTGTACATTTATAATGCACATCACCAACCAAGACTATCTTCTTTTATTTTCACTCATCTTTCTCTAAATATACCATATCTTACTGCTTTTATGCTGTTTTTTTTTTTTATATCAAAACCTAATTTTTCCACATTCTGTCGTATTTCCACCGTTCTATAACAGTGTATTAGCAGGTGATCCAAGGTTTCACCATCCTCACACATATCCATAGGGCATTTCTTAGTCGTCACAAAACAACTCCACCTTATAACACCTCTTACAGGGAGACGCCGACCGAAATTAACTCCACTCTCTACATTTATTTGTTCAGTCAACCTTCCATTAACTTTGATCTGAACACATGATTTTTTGTATAATACTTTAATCCTGATCCTGCCGATACTACTCTACGGATCCGAAACGTGGACGGTGCTCAAAGCGGACCTCAACAAACTCAGTTTTCCAGATGTGCTGCCTTCGGCAGATAGTATCACTTCGAGACTGCCTTCGAAAAGAGGGCATCCGATGGAGATCCGACAACCAACCGCCAATCGAGGGGAAAATTCATAAATGCCGATTGCGATGGTTTGGCCATGTGTGTAGAATGGATGTGAGCAGACTACCACATCAACTCCTCTGGCGCAAACGACCCACCCAGTGGAGAATCCACCGAATGACACCGAAGAAAACATGGGTAAAACAAGTCAAAGATGACAGGGATCGCAGAATAAATCTCGACGAGGCCAGGACAATCGCCAACGATCGCTATGCATGGTGTTACGTTCTGGTCCCGGCAAGTAAATAAACGTAACAAATAGTTGCCCCACTCACTTCCCACCCACGCACAAACCCCAACAACGACACCTTTTTAAAGTATTTAAGCAGCCATTTATTTTCATCAGCAGTGAGCAATGCCAAAACAATAAACAAAACTCCCTATAAAACAATCCCTAGTCTTCCCTACACCAAAATAAAAAGAAGCCAAAACAAAAGACAAGTCACTTACCTAACTATCTAACGAAAAACAGGAGAAAACTTGTTCAACAAAAGAAAACGGCTTCTCACGCCTACTAGGCTGCGACAGTGAAAGTTATACAGCAAAGGAACAAAAAAAGTGACCGCCACTGGTTAACTTATTTACAATTATTTACATGGCAAGGCTAGAGGTACACGTGAATACTCCAGCCTGCACTACAATGACACAACACACAACTCTGTGACCGAGTCAACGGAGTTCCAAACAGCACTCCCAGGTGACTGTCATCCGGACGTTAAGTACTGGAGGTGGTCCATCAATTATCCAGTCGGAAGGTGTGTAGAGACTCCACCCAGATACCTAGCAGCCACGCCCAGGTGTCCACCTCCTAGGAGAGAAAAAAGGGAAAATACCGCCACCATCCTCCGGTGGGAGGCACAACACCAACAAGCACATCACTGGGTCATAACAGTTTCCCCCACCCAAAAAAAATCAAACATCCAACCCCACACAAAGATGTTTGATTTACGACCTAGAGAGGGCATCAGCCATAACATTCTCTAAGCTCTTATATATCGGATCTCAATGTTGAAATCCTGTAGGAGTAAGGACCAACGCATGAGGCGCTGGTTGCTGTTTTAGAAATGTTCTAGAAAAGAAACAGACTGGGTGGTCAATGCCATTTTCATCCTCCTGCACGAGCACTGCACCCGCCCCCAAAACACTGGCGTCCACCTCTGAATCCTTGTCTTTTTCTAGCAGGTGGCCTGGTTTCAGCATTTTGCTGCTGACTGTCCTGAAAAGTGAATCTACTTGGGTCTGATTGCATGGTGGCTTCAGCGACCCTTGTGGTTTGAATATTTGTTCTTCTCGTCCCCTTGGGCTGCCTCCTATTCTGCTGCTGCTGTTGCTGGGATCCACTCGCACCTCTCCTCTGCCTAAATGTCTTTACACTGACGGTTTGAACAGCCTTTGATGTGGCACGATCGAAACCACTGTTATCTGTAAGTGGTATATCGACTACTTCTGGCGACGGAAAAACTGTGCCGCCAGCTAGGTCGTTTCCCAAGATGATGTCAATACCTGCAACTGGTAACTGGGGTCGCACCCCAAGCTTAACCTCACCAGACAAAAACTGAGACGAAAGCTGCACCAAGTGTAAAGGAACCCGTATTACACACATCCTAACTCCCCAGGCTAACACATCCGCCCCACAACAGGATTGAGCTGAAAACGGTAAGACCCCCTCACGAATGAGCGACTGTTTCGCACCAGTGTCTCGCAAAATACGGACAGGAGTCCGCCGATCTTCTCCTATCAAGGAAACAAAACCGTTTGACACAAACGGCTTAAACTCCTTATCTACTTTATCAATTTCGGGTGCCATCACCTCCCCCCAAGTAGGAGAGTTTGTCTGTAGAAGGTTTATTGGGGAAGGAGATGTACCCTCCCTGGTCATTTCTTTTCTCTTCAGAGCAGGGCAAACCGCAATAAGGTGTCCCTGCTCATGGCAAAAAAAACACACGCGGTTCTCAACGGATGAGGGGATGGCACGGCGGGTGCCCCTTGGAGACCATCGGGGCGGGCCACCGGAAGACGGAAAACTGTGAGCAGGAGCCGAAAACACCACTTTATGTGTCAACACAAACTCATCAGCCCGTATAGCAGCAGCGGCGAGAGTCGTAACCTTCTGTTCGTTTAAGTAGGTTACCACAGTGTCTGGTAGTTGATTTTTAAACTCTTCTAACGTCACCAACTCACGCAGGTCTTCCAAGGTTTTTACTTCTGTAGCATGACACCACTTATCAAACAGAGTTTTCTTTTCTCTGGCAAACTCCACATAGGTCTGGTTGGCGGATTTTTTCCCATCCCTAAATCTCTGCCTGTAAGCCTCTGGCACAAGCTCGTAAGCGCGCAGGACAGCAGCCTTCACCGTATCATAGTCAAAACTGTCCTCCAGAGAAAGAGCGGTGCATACCTCTTGAGCTTTCCCCACCAATCTACATTGGAGTAAAAGAGACCACACATCCTTTGGCCAGTGCAGCGCACCTGCGATACGTTCAAACACTGTGAAATACGAATCCACCTCAGTTTCCCGAAACGCCGGCACCATTTTGATGTGTTTACTCACATCAAAGCCACCACCTGGCATCGGGGCCGGTGGCTGCGGAGATGGCGACTGCGGGGATGATGACTCCGGGGAGGGTACCTGCGGGGATGATGACTCCGGGGAGGGTACCTGCGGGGATGGTGACTGCGGGGCTAACCGAGGTACAGGAGGGCTGGCAGACACAGAGGCTCCCCTCTCTACCTCCAGAGCCCTGATCCTCAAGTGCATAGCGTCCACCTCCAACTGCTGTTTCTTTAGCTCCACCTCCTTAATGCGCAGCGTTAACCGCAGCTCCTCCACAGAAGGGCTAGGTGGAAAAGGGAGATTTTTCAGTGGGGCAGAAACACCAGCAACAGCCCCCAGCTCAACCCCCCCTGCAGGACCCGGCTCACCAAACAACCCCCTGTCCGTCAACTGGACACACAGGAGCTCCCTAAGCTCTTTCTTCTTCGCAGTCAACGGCACAGTCACATCAAAGAATTCAGCAACAAGCAAGAGGTCAGCCTTTTTACACCTGTCCAACTTCTCCGCAGACGGGCTCAGAGTGAAGTCCTCCAACTTAAACTCCATCCTAACACACACACACACACACCCCCCCACACAAGAAAAAACCGCCAACCAAGAAAACAAGCCACAAAAAGAACACAAAAGAGACGAGCCCCCAATATGTTACGTTCTGGTCCCGGCAAGTAAATAAACGTAACAAATAGTTGCCCCACTCACTTCCCACCCACGCACAAACCCCAACAACGACACCTTTTTAAAGTATTTAAGCAGCCATTTATTTTCATCAGCAGTGAGCAATGCCAAAACAATAAACAAAACTCCCTATAAAACAATCCCTAGTCTTCCCTACACCAAAATAAAAAGAAGCCAAAACAAAAGACAAGTCACTTACCTAACTATCTAACGAAAAACAGGAGAAAACTTGTTCAACAAAAGAAAACGGCTTCTCACGCCTACTAGGCTGCGACAGTGAAAGTTATACAGCAAAGGAACAAAAAAAGTGACCGCCACTGGTTAACTTATTTACAATTATTTACATGGCAAGGCTAGAGGTACACGTGAATACTCCAGCCTGCACTACAATGACACAACACACAACTCTGTGACCGAGTCAACGGAGTTCCAAACAGCACTCCCAGGTGACTGTCATCCGGACGTTAAGTACTGGAGGTGGTCCATCAATTATCCAGTCGGAAGGTGTGTAGAGACTCCACCCAGATACCTAGCAGCCACGCCCAGGTGTCCACCTCCTAGGAGAGAAAAAAGGGAAAATACCGCCACCATCCTCCGGTGGGAGGCACAACACCAACAAGCACATCACTGGGTCATAACAATGGCAACGAGTTGTGAAGGAAATTTGACAACCATTGGCACCCACAGCAGCGTATGGGCTTAGGAGTCGATCCAGACCCAACGCCGGGTAGGGATCAAAGAAGAAGAAGAAAGAAGGAGCATTTGCTTTCATTTTGACATTCTTTTGCTTCTGGACCCAATCCTCCGCACTTCCAACACTTAAAGGTGGGGCAATCTCTCACTTGATGGTCTTGCGCTTGACAAATGAAACACCTATTTACTTGTCTGGGATATATAATTCGTCCATGGTAGGGTCCTAGTGAAATTGACCTAGGTATGACAACCATGTTGCCAGCTTCATCTCTCCTCATCTGCACCTTAAATTTCCTCACTCCATACCAAAGGCCAAACTTATCGACTGGTTTAACAGGTGGTTGTAGGATTTCACAATATCTTTGCAGATATAGTTCAATATCTTGGTCTGAGACTCTTCCTGTACCATCCTGTACCCCAATTTCTATGTATTTATGCCAAGTCGTCGTGTTTCAGGTTTCTCATGACAGGTTTCCATCTCCCTGTTTGTGTTCATGTTTTTTATGTTTTGCTTTAGTTCTCCCAGTTTAGGTTATTGCTTAGTTTCACACTTGCCCTTTTGATACTGTTTAAACCAGCCTTAATAAACGGCTCACATTCTGTTAAAATGAAGTTTTGTTTTCGTGTGTCTGCACTTGGGTCCACCTCATCACTCCACACAGTCTGCTTCTGCAGATTGTGACTGTTCAGTCATTAAAGAAGTTAAAGAACTATTTGTTGCAAAGCAGAAAAGATGAGAAACATGCCCAGCATTATTCCTCTTAATCACACAGAGGCAGTCCACTAAAGTAGTATTATTCAGTACAGACACTGTAAAATCATGTTGCCACGCCACTGACCTGTATATGAAGTAATAGTTTTTTTTATATTAAAGTTCCTGAATTCATACAAACACTTCCTTTATTATGCAGACTCAGCACAGAGCATCGTGTACCCCAATTTCACGAGTGGAGAATAGATTTGTAGTCAATCACATCAATATGGTGACATCCATCCTGTTGGAGGCATGTTTAGAGTGAATCCTGTAAAATGCTGCCATTCATGTCAATATGCTCTGTTTACAATGTCCACTGGCATATCTTTAAATGTGCTACTAGAAAATACACAAAGCATAAAATACACGTAAAACTACTTTATTTTCTGCTCCCTTCTTCTTCCTATTCTCTGTCTTCATCCTGCTCTCTCCCTTATTCTCTCTCAGTCTTTGTGCCGTCACCCCAAAAAAGAGAAATGTTACAGTGTATAGAAGACATAAACTGATCCAGTTAGCAACAATATTTAAACTGAATACTGGCTACTGCTGGACACTGACAGGTAACATCAGTTTGACTTCCTATCACCTGGATCTGGAGCTGTATTGTAAACAAACACTGAAGCCCAATTTGACCAGAATAGGAACAGAATTTTTTAACAAACTAAAATGATAAAGTATATCAGCTTCTTAACTGGCAACTCACAATATCCCAGCAAACTAGTGGATTAGAAGGTTCAAATTAGCCAATAATCTCTAGTGATTTCAGCTACATTAGTTAATATTTTTGATGCTATTTAGAGAACAAATACTAATTAGCAGACTCTTTATAAGTCACAGTAATGTTCCAGCATTCCATTTTGTCATTAATAAAAAAGTTGGGAAAATAATACATTTGAAGATAATTCCAGAAAATAATACAAAAATACACTCACTACTATTACTATTGTTATTTTTAGGGGTGCTGTGATGAAATTTGGGGTGGTTGATTTCTAAAAGGGTCTAAACTCAACTATGGTTAATAATGGTTAATAATCTGTGTACTACCAATATAACTGAAATAACTTCACCATCTGCTAGGCTAGGTAAGTTCAGGTTAAAGAAATTGACCAACACACGAAAGCAGGATACATAAAAGGACATAAAAGGAAGTTAAACATTATCTGTGTCAGCAGAGGAGTGGTAGAAATCTAAACTAAACACAAAATAGATCAAATAGCTGATGACTCCTTCTTAGAAGTTATTCTAAGACGTATTTAAGCATTGCTACTTAAAGCTTCACCCATACAGGAAAGCTGAAACAGAAAGTTGTTCTGGAGTTCTTACACATCTCACACGGTGAAAAGCAAGTGACCACTGAAGTTGGTGTCATGATTAACACCATCAAAAATCCTGGCATGAGCCCAGAGACGCAAAGACACCTGATCTCCAGGTTCTAGAAGCAGTGAGGTACCACAAGAAGTGCTCACAGTACCAGATGCCTGCAGTTCAAATGCAAGAAAAATGTGTTCTCCATTCCTGAACAACACACCAGCTATAGGATGAGATTTGTATGCATGTCCATGTAGGTGCCACTCAAAGTGGTAGGCTCCTCTCACTGGAGCAATGAAGATACCTGTTCAATAGAAAATGAACTGTTAGAGCATCTACAACAGATCAGATTGACATCAACACTTCAGGAACAAGATACACATTATTATTACCTGTTTGTGGGTTGTAGGCGTTTCCAATGTTTGTGATGACACGTCTGAAGACTAAAGTAATCTGTACATTAAAGGGTCCAGTATATCCATAGCCACCCTCCAACAGAGATGCTGAGAAAGCCACTTGTTTGACTGAGAGAGAAGGAAGGTGGATTGTTTTAAACTTTTGTTTTTGATTTAAACATTTTTCCTTCAATTGAGGATTTCTTTTTCATAGTTTAATGTTTTCTTTGTTAACACAGTGCAATGGGACTATTGTTTTTTTTTCTGAGAATCAAAAACAATTTGCTGACATAAATGTTTTTGTTATGCAGTGATGTAGTCATGTCATGGTTGGTGCCTATTCACCAGCTAAATTTAATTAGATTAAGTGTTGGATACTAAATATGATGTTGTACTTTAAAAGAAACCTATAAGCTCCACAAAGTGATAAGACGTACAATAATCCAATGTGTGGTGACCTCCTTTATAATATCATAAATGCTAAATATTCTTCCAGTTACACCCCCCACGTTAGTGACCTGGATTCATGTTCTGCTTCTTTTAGGCTTTTATTTTTTCCTGTTTTAAGGTCTATCAGCTTATTTGTTTTAGCTTTATTATTTGAGAGTTGCTGAGGTTGTACAGTGGGGCAAAAAAGCATTTCAGATAATAAAACTATGGATTTGATCACCAACTATACGATTGTGTTTAAAAGCAGCAAACAGCAGACTAAGATAGTTACATTCCGGTCAAAGGATTACACTGAGATATTTAGGGGTTGTTCCTCTTTAACAACTGGAAAATATTTATGATGTGGGCATTCATAAGTTCACTGAAACAATCATAACTTAATTGATTACATTACCTTTTGATTGCTGCTTCAGATGTTCAATCTCAGCCTTCTGCCTCTCCAACTCAGTCATCTGCCTCTCTAGTTTTGTTACATGCTCTAAAAAACAACTTTATTTAGATCTTTGTTTGAAGATTGCCTTGAAAAGCGCTATATAAATCCAATCCATCATTATGTCATTTTTGTCATTGTGAATATTTATGAAATGACACTGTGACACAAACGTTGGTCATAGGAAACACACACTACTGTACCTTGATTATCTTGTTTTAATGTCCTGATCTCAATCTTCTGCTCAGCCAGTGAGACTGCCATCTCTCTGAGCACAGCATGGATGTCCTGTTGACAGGGTTGTTGGTTTGAAATCTGCTGGTCAACAATTTCATTATCTGCCTCTGTCTGATTTGTGGAAACAGAGCAGACCAGAAGCAACAGCGAGAAAAACACCATGATCTCCATTCTGTCAGTGAAAACTCAACAGTATCTGTGTCATCTGCAAACCTGACTGACTTTTATATTACACAGTACAAAGATGACGTAGCCACCTTTCCTAAGATAACTGAGGACATTACTATGCCTTATAAATCACTGGCTATTGTAATGTTTATGAGTACCATTTAAAAGGCTACAAGGAAAACAAGTTACTGTGAACGATTGTCAGTCGGCAGTAAAATGGGTCAGTGCATGTGCTGTCTTTGGAAGTTTAATGTAAACAAGAAGAATATAAATGATTTCCATGAAATGACTTTCTACCAGTTTAGCCTCTTATTTCTCTATAATTTGCTTCCAAGCCAGACTATCTTTAAATGTTAGAAAATCATTTTGAGAAACAGTTCTCCACGTTTTCTGGAGGACTTCTCACAAGCTGTTGTTTTCAGTTCAGTATCTGTAT